TGTCGACACACATTTGGTTCTGAACTGTATTTTTTTAACGATGTGCACAGATTTGGTGCAGATGACAAGAACTATACTGATATCTTGATCATTCTAGTATAGCAGTAACAAATGTGTGATGGTACAGCACTAATCCCTATATATTGATATACTAATCTGCACTTCTATTATCATGTTTGTGTATACATCTCCAAATTTATTCATCATTTCCTGTGCGGGGACGCCAGACTACTTCGCAATACAATATAGTTGTATTATCTCCGTATTCCATTCCGCATTGCTCATCAACATCTTGAGTCTTACCATTGCGTGAGGAATAATAGGTTTTTCGAGGGCTATGGTTTTACCATTATAGAAGCGAACCAAAAGCCTCGAATGCGATAATGGAGGTAGTCCCGAGCGACACATTTTCAGCAATAATGATTCGTTGATTCCAATCCAGTGTCTTCCTGCATTGGGCAAGCGCTCTCTGGCCGATTCAAGATCCTTAGGCGCGCTTGAAACCTTTCTTGTGCGTTGACAAGGTAAATGCTGAGGCAAAAGTAGATGTTTTCTGTCGCTCATGTACATTTATAGTCGGGGCACGAGTCGAATAAGTATGATAATGATACTCAGAACAAATGAAAAGATGATTAGATATTTTTGTGCAGTTTAAGAATTTGGGATATGCATTACACCAGTCCAATCATTCACAGTTATTTATTATTTTGTAATGGTTGTCTATGTACGGGTAGTTCCGGTTATTATCAAGATATAGTTTAAAATAATATTTATTTATGAGTTTTTGAATAAACTTCATAATATATTCTATAGTTACAATAAAAGCTTATAAGTGATCCAATTTAAGATATTAATTTTAAAAGTATTATATATTATGAATTATATCTGCTATCACCTTAGCTAAGAGTTACACTTCTAAAAAATAAATTGCAAATATTTCTTAGAATAATTACTTATACTTGATAATCATATTTAAAAAAGAAAATTTTTTATTTATATTTCAAATTTTATTTATATTTATTATAATATTTCAAGAATTTTTAATATTAATAAAATATATATAAATAAAAGTCTATTATATAAATGCTTTGTAATATTTTAAATATTATTTGGTATTAAAAAAATATATTCTTCATATAGTTTAATATTAATATATTCTAATTAACTAATTATAATATTAAGATGTAATTTATTATTTTTATCAATATAAATACTATAATATTAACAAGATTAGCAGTATAGCAAAAAATAATTAATAATTTCAAATTTAAATTATTATATAATTTA